TACCGAGAACCTTTAGTTAATTTACAACTATTAGAAGAAACAATTCAATCGGCCCGAAACACAGACTAAAAAACAACTTAAATCGGGACTAAGGCCGCAAACAATAAAAAGAATACAAAATGAAGTAAAAAGCCCGGGACGTTTCGCAGGGATCACTCCCGCATTTTCAACCGGCAAATTAATTTTGTTTGTCTCGCCGGTTGAAAATGCGGGTGTGATCCGTGCGAAACGTCCCTAGCTTTTTACTTTACTTCATGTGTTCTTTTTATTAGTTGCGGCCTTAGTCCCGATTTAAGTTTTTTTTTTTACAACTTTTAGTGGTGTTCAATACGAATCACTGATTGGTTTTGAAGCCATGCATGGATTTTTCCTCTTGTGGTAAAACTCGTAATCCATTGAAAAGTACGTGAGTTTTCCGAGGAATTTTCGGGCTTTTCCGTTTGACAGAAATACGTCCAAATGCACTGGAAAAAAAATCTCGGTGTATTTACTAAGAAAAGGGTAAAATTACCAAGAATTCAGGGTTCTATTTGATCCCAGTTTTTTCTTGGTAAAATTACCATTCATGGAATTGGTAATTTTACCGAGAAATATCGGTAAAATTAATGAACTTTCTCGGTAATTTTACTGGACCTTGGTAAAAACGCCAATATTTTGTATCGACTGTAGTAAAAAGACCGAGATAAAATGGCAAAGTTACCGGGAATTGATTACCAATAAAAGCGGTATTCTTACCTAAAAAAAAAAAAACAGTAAAAATACCGGTTTTTAGGTAAGTTTACCAGTCCGTCTTGGTAAAATTACCAACAATTGGTAAAAAAAGTGAGATGGTAAAGGTACCAACGGACCTTGGTAGAAACGCCGAGAATTTTTTCTCAGTGAGTTTTCCGAGGAATTTCCGGGCTTTTCCGTTTGACAGGAATACGTCCAAACGTCGGCCCTTTTCTACTTGCAGCTTCAAAACGCTGGCGGTAAGCCCGTGGACAAAAACCGGGTAGCCCTCGTCTACAACGCCAGAACGGACCGCTGCAGCCGGATCACCGACTTCTCACCTAGGGAGAACGTGGACGCCGTTAATGAAGCCTGCAGACTGGCATTCATCGCCCTCGATAACACGGGGCTCAACGAATGTCCTGGATGGAGTCAGCCTCGATGTCGCAAGCTCTCTAGTTTGAACCGTTCCAATGTTCCATCGTTCTCACCATCAACAATCAGCCCGAGCGAAAACCCATCGCTCACCTCGTACACCCCCAGGTAGTTTTTTTTTTTCTCTCTTCACGGAAAAAACGAGTTTAGGGTTGGGACCTACACGTTAGTGCTGGACACTAACGAGGGTTAGGTCAAATGGAGCTACCTAGTCCGAATAGTGCTGGACACTAAACAGTCCGAGGCTGGGTCACTAAGGAAATAGTAGTGTCCAACCCTAAAGTGATTTTGGCGAGCGTAAAATATGATCCGCCTCCGCCTGGGATTGAACCTGGGTCGCGCTGGCGGTAGACCAGCGCGTTGCCACCGGGCTGTAGCAATTTGTAGAATTGGAGAGTGATTTTACACCTGTTAAGCGCAACTGCGTCTCGCGGCATCTGATTGGCACTACTGGTGTTCAGTGCCCACCTCTACTGCCTTGCCTTCCTGTGTTGAGCTGTACAGCGCTTAGACGCCAGCCCTCAACTGCTCACCACTAAATGGCCAGTAGTGCCCAGTACTAATCTCGTTTTTTTCCGTATTTAACCCCGTGGTGTCGAATGAGTTCGCTCATACTATATCTATTCCCAATCCCCACCTCACAGACAATTTAAGAGAAACAAAACTAATGAAAAATAAGACATGACTATGAGAAATGAATTAAGAGACATCTCTCCCACAAAGTCCGTGAAACCTGCAGCCTGAGTGCTGAATTTTCGTGTTTGTCGGGTAGACATAGATCACATAGATAAAAAAGCGGAGCGTAATTGGTCGGCTATGTCTTATCGCTGCTTTATTGCGTCTGTGTCGGGTGGAACTCACTACAAGCTAAATGCCTCTCTTAAGTTTCCGACAGTATATCGTCCATCCCATCTGACAAAGGCACGATAAAGCAACGATAAGACATAACTGACCGATCACGCTCCGCCTTTTAACATCTATGCCCACCCGAAAAACACAAAATTTCAACAACCAGGCTGCTGAGGTACAGTCATGCCGAACTGGTTCTAAATTAGGAATAACGGTTTGATCGCGATGAACCGACCGGTTACCTTAAATCCATTCGCAAGGTCGACACTCCGGGACCGTCTTCTGACATTACATCGAAGTTCTCTGTTTTCTAGATTTCCAGTTTTTCAAAATCTTTCTCCTTTATTTTTTCTTTTATTCATTTATTCTTTATTTGCACAAGAAAATATAACATTTTACAATAAACACTGATAGACATTATATGATAAAGTCTTTTAAAGCTTAATTTAACTGTAAAATACTTAACTATTATTTATACACATTTTATCTTATTTGCTACTACCTCTATGAATTGAGGACGAAGGTTAAGATACACATTTATTACTAATAAGAATGTCTTTTGTTCTTTATTTCAATTATTGCCTTACACGGAGAAAAAAACCTCGTGCGTGGGATCCGAAGTTTAGGTCATATGGATCTCTCAAATTTTCGGATTGAGCATCTGAACACTTTAGGTCCAGCTGTCATTACACATCTGAAACTCCAGCTCTTACATCTGAAATACTTCAGATGCGAGAACCGAAGTTTTTCGGATGTGAGAACCGAAGTTTTTCGGATGTGAGAACCGAAGTTTTTCGGATGTGAAAACCGAAGTACTTCAGATGTAAGAACTTAAGTTTCAGATGTGTGATCCAAACCTCAGCAGCTAGACCTAAAGTGTTCAGATGCTCATTTCGGAAACTTCAGAGATCCATATGACTTAAACTTCGGGTCCCACGCACGAAGTTTTTTTCTCCGTGTAAAATAAATTTCACAGTTACGCCAGTTTCCTTTATTTTCTCTCATTTTCTCGACTCCCAGGATGTTACCAAGTCCTTCCGCGACTGCGCACCTTCCCTCTGGGTGGAGGAAATGGAGAAAGGGATGGTCAGAGCCTTGCCCCTTTTCTGCACGATATGGCAGTCTACGCACAGGGACGCTCAGGCGACGGGCAGGGCCAGCCGCCATGCTCGCAACGCCGCCGCGCAGCAGGCTTTGCCTCCTGTCCAAGCATCAGCACCTGTACAGCCACTAGGTCTTGCATATCATAATAATAATTTTTCATTTATAATTCCTAAGAGCATAAAATAGTGTCAGAAAAAAAAGAGTAACAAAAAGATCAAACTAAGATTGAAATCTAATGATATACGGAGAAAGAAACTTCGTGCATGAGACCCGAAGTTGAGGTCATACGGATCTCTGAAGTTTCCGGATCACGCATTCGAAAACTTGAGGTCCAGCTGCCGAAGTTCGTGTCAGACAACTAAGTGCTTCGGTATGTACCGGAGTACTTCAGATGTGTAACCCGAACCCTTCGGTAGATAGAAGTACTTCAGATGTCTGACCCGAACTTCGGCAGCTGGACCTCAAGTTTTTAGACACGTGATACGAAAACTTCAGAGATCCATGAAACCTCAACTTCAGTCCTACGCACGAAGTTTTTTTCACCGTGTAAGAGGAACCTTACCGGAATATTAGCAATTAATTAAAAATCATCAACAGAATACAGACACTTTTCCACTAATAAGGTTTTACAATCTCTCTTGAAGTTGTGTAGAGAGGTGGAATATTAAATGGACCAAGGAAGCTTGCAGAAGGAAGTATGTCCGGTTGTTAGAACATTATATTTGTCCCATTTTGAGCTCACTTCATCGCACCTCAGACAATTTTTCCCTTGAGTGTTGTAATCATGAAAATCTTTGTCCGATTTTAACTGGTGCTTTTCCATGAAGAAAATTATCAGAACTCTATACACGCGTATAGAGATGGTGTCGCTAGAATTTTGTTGTCTGTGAATGAATCACTGCACGAGTCACTTTTCCTATTTTTGAACATGGTTCTCAGAGTTTTTTTCTGAACTTTCAAGATATCATCCAGCTGGTTTTTGTTGCAAGTACTCCAAACTGTTCTTACAGTGGTTGATATGACTCTAGAAAAAAGAATGTATAATGATGAAAGTAATTTAACATTACAAACTTTTGCAAAATAATTTAGAACGAAAATAGCTTTGGATAGTTTGGTTTTGAGTTCACACAGATGGTCCGACATTTTCAATACATTGTCCAGAACAAAACCTAGATGCTTAAAGTTTGAAACCTCATTAAGTGCAATATTTCCCAACAAAACTGTTGAAATTAGGCAGTAGACTGCAGTTGGACGTATTTATGCTAAATGGAACCATGTGCAAGTGGAAAGATGGGGTGTGCTAGTGTAAGCTGCATAAGAAAAAATGTAAAGGTGGATATAGTTCCTTTTGAGAAAATGCACCGAAAAAAATAGTATGCTATTTTGGCACCCAGGATGTCAAAAATGTGGCTGGTCATCCTAAGATGCTACTTTAATTGCCCACGCAGTTGAATTTGCATTCGTAGAATGTAAAGTTAACTGCGAGGGCAGTAAAGGCGGCATTTTGGGATCACCAGACACATTTTTGACATCCTAGGTGCTAAAACAGCATACTATTTTTTCAGTGTGGAAAAGCAGGATTTTCAATTAAATCAAAAGGAACTGAGCGCTAACTCATGAGCCGTGGGCATGTCACAAGAGCTTTGTGGACAGAGCTCATGAGTTAAAGAATTACGACCTAGTCGTCGTCTAACCCGGTTCTCACCACTGACGTCACTGGCGCTTTTAAATTCCCGTTCATTCTTATGGCCTGAGCACTGACGAGCACACCCCATCTTTCCACTAGCACATAGTTCCATTTAGCATAAATAGGTCCAATTTATAATCACCACGTTGGGTTTTTCTGTGTTTTTAAACCATTGAAATCGCACCATGTTCTGCAGGCTCCTCATACCCTGCGTTAGGTGATGAATTTTTTCCCGCTGTCACTCCTTTTTATTCGGGGAGTTCTGCAAAGGGTAAAGAAGTCTTGCACACAGCTGAAATTGACCGTCGTCGCCCGGTTCAATCGAATGCACCGGTTTCCATGCCTGCGTCGGGTAATGAACTTCTTCAAGCTGCGGCGCCTTTTTTCTCTGGGAGTTCAGCAAAAGGCAAGGGAGTCTTGCAGACAACCGGATCAGACCGTCGCTCTAGGTCTCGAAGCAGTTCGCTCGATAGAAATGCCAGCATTCAGAAGGGATCAAATCCTCCTAATCAAGGTACTTTTCTGAAACCTTAAAATTCCAATGGGTTCTTATTGAATTTTTTTTTTGTGTGTGTCGTACTAGGTGGATTTAAAATTTCCAAGGAGACACCCAGACCCGTAGAAACATTTTGCTTAACAAAAAAACTGCACAAGAAAAGTTTGGAAGAGCTTAGTGAAACTAGAAAAATTCTTATTGAATGACGCATTTTCCTGTGTTGTTTTGCTGATCTGCCGACATGCTCAAAAGTGGCGCCAGCTCTCCCACTTACATTCTGTGAAAATCAAAAAAATAATCTTAAATTTGCCGCCAAGAAGTATTTCTTGTTAAATCAAGAATTTTGCTGGTCAATATAGGATAATTTTTTGCTTAACCCAAGCATTATTTTTCTTGAATCAAGAAAAAGTCAGCTTAAAGCAAGATTAAGAAAATTCTTGGCGGCAAATTCAAGAATTATCATGCTTGATCCAAGCTACTTTTTTTTTCAGTGACGACTCTACGTATTCTATGTTGTATTACTACACTACGTACCTACTCCGTGCTCACGCCGGTGATGAAATGCGGGGTTTAGCTTATGTCACACTATCAAACTACTCCATCAAAATGTCAAGGTCAAGTGCTGTGATTGGTCCAAGTCATCGAATAAGCCAATCACAACACCTGACCTTGATATTTTGATGACCAGCTTTGATAGTGTGACACAGGCTTTTCAAAACTCGCGATTTAAAGTTGAACCAACGGGATCGACACACGGCTTTCCTCTGATACCTTGAAATGACTAAACGAGAGTTGGGTAGCTTCTGACTTAGAGATGCTAATATTTATTTATTTATTTTCCTGTGAGTGCTCATTTTATGAATAAACAAGGTGATTTCTTCACGTTTCATGTGCTGATTCAGGTGTCTCACTCACAGTGGCCGAAACAATCGCCAAAGAAAGACTCGAATACAAGTTTCAATGCCCACACTGTCCAAGACGTTACAAATTAGAGCGATCCTTGATGGGGCACCTTCCGTCCCATGCAGGAGAAACTGATTGCGACCAGTGCAACAAAAAGTTTGGCTCGATTAATACTCTCAGGCGTCACAAGAGGCAAAAACATTCTGGATAAATTTTCATTCAAAACCAGTAAAATGCGTGTGAAAAATAAGTTTAAGAGAAAAGGACGAGTGGATTCCAAGGAATCATCATTTGGATTGCATTTTGCAAAGAGGAACCAACAGCATCCCAATGTTACTAAGATTGTGCAATTTAAATTCTTTGCAAAACATTACAGAAATCATGAAGAAAATTAAATTTACGAATGTAATTTTCGCCTTAAATTAATGATTTAATGGCAATAAAGATGAAACCGGTCTAGATGATCAGATTCTATTTGCAAGGTAAAAATGTTGCACAATCTTAGCGACATTAGAAGACTTGTGGTTTCTTTTTGCAATATGCAATCCAGTTAGATAAAGGACGCGGTTTAGAAAAAAGTCTCACGAACATTTCTTCTCACGAGCCATCCAATTTCCCCTTGATGTGGGGTTTGTACCTAAATTACCCGCTTGTATGGCGATCTCACTGAAGCTCCGCTCCTAGGTATTGGTCATAAAGCATGTTTAGTGGATTAGAATTTTAGCTAATAACCTCACATAGATCGATAGGCACATGCAAAATAATAGCGTCGGTTAACTAAAGATGTTAACTTCAAAAGTTATATTATTTTTAATTTCCCTTGTCCTAGGGTGCAGAAATGTTGAAGCGAGACCTGTTCCAGGCGTTGTATTGATATGTTCTCTTGATAAGCTACATTGGTTTTTTTTTACACTCGCTTACTTTTTTTGTGTGGTAAATAATTATAAAATATCTGAAGTAGTCTCTGAAACATCTTTTTTCAAACTGAGTTTGATTTTTGAAATTTGAGGAGTTATAGGTACGCGAAATTTTTAGAGTGTCAACTGCTGATCACAATGGACCACTAGACAGGTACGAATTTAAGCAATCTGATACATGTTTCTTAACCAGAATTTCACGTAGAACACGATTCACACTACGAAATTTACCGAAATCAACTTCTAACGAAGATATTAACGTTTTTATTTCGCACTGATTACGAGGAATTTGAACTGCCCGCTCACAAGAAACTCAAAGCTCTACGTGAGTCAAATCGCGCACTACAACGGTTTCAGCAAGCTTTTCAATCGAGCAATGTTCATTTTCCACCATGTGTTGTTCAAACTATTGGTAATTTGCTATAGCTGAGCCAAAGTGTCAAGATTGAAGTTGAAGATGTTTACATCGCAGAGACTGTCATGATAAACATTTAGCGCGCGATGTGAATCACGTAGAGCATTGAGTTTTTATGAGCGGGTGGTTTGAATTCACGCATCAAGAATCATTAAATATCTTCGTCAGGAGTTGATTTTGGTAATTTTCGTTGTGCGTATCGTGTTCTACGTGAAATTTTGGTTGAGAAACATGTATCAGAATGCTGAAATTCGTACCTTGTCTAGTGGTCCATTAATTTGGGATCAAGTGTAACATATTGGCAAACCTGCCCTCACAAATACTTTAGTCCCTCACTATGTTTTTAACGCATGTTAATGAAATTAATAATGAATAATATAATATGATAAATATGAAATATTATAAATAATGAAATGAAATTGTTTAGTTACCAAAGTGAATTTTTTGTTTTATTGTATTTGTATTATTTCTCTCCTGCAGCAAAGCTATATTCAATAGAAGACTTGATTCAAGTTACCAAAGATTTTAATTGTAATTTTTCATTCTCCTCGTGTTTTCTTCTTTTCAAAAAAAAAAAAAAAAAAAAAAAAAAAAAAAAAAAAAAAAAAAAAAAAAAAAAAAAAATTAAAGTAAGTTAAACGGGTATCTGTTAACTACATGTTGTGTGTTAGGAGATCAATTCATAAAGTAACATATCGTAGTTTTTCATTCAATTCCCCATCTGTTGGTAATCAACAGTTCCTATCTTTCAACAGCTGAAACATTTGTCAAGGAAAAACAAATAGTCCAGGCGCCTGGTAAGTCTACCTGGAATTTTGGGTACACAGCGATTTTTTGGGTCGCTGAATCCGAATCTGAAGTAACCTACCGCGTATCTGGTGAGAATTTTCCGCCATTTTGAAAAAATGGCCTAAAAATACCTTTTTTTACGGTTTTCTTTATATAGCGGCTACGCATGAGAAAAAATCCCGGATTTAGCTAATGTTTTGAATAGCTGACAAAATTTGGAAGAAAATGGTATATAAATATGCTAGGTTTGCTCAAAAATTGAGGACCCTCGGATCTCGGAACTTTCGGTACTTACAATTAGCTGACCGCGGCGAGCCGAATCACGCGTTAACGGGTGCGCCGCGAAAACGTGAATGGACGCGATGTTCACGATGCTGTATCTTCCTCAATTTTTAAGCAAACCTAGCATATGTACACACCATTTTCTTCCAAATTTTGTCAGCTATTCAAAACATTAGCTAAATCCCGGATTTTTTCTTATGCGTAGCCGCTACATAAAAAAAACCCGCAAAAAAAGGCCTTTTTAGGCCATTTTTTCAAAATGGCGGAAAATGCTCACCAGATACGCGGTAGGAAATTTCAGATTCGAATTCAGCGACCCAAAAAACATAAATTAAGCCAAAAATATCGCTGTGTACCCAAAATTCCAGGTAGCCTCATTTTTAGCTACCAGACGCCTGGACTAAAAGCAATTAATTTCAAAGCGAGTTCATTAAAAATATTTCGGGTTCTCCAACCTCAACGGGTTTTGGACGATAAATTATTGAGCATTTCAATTTCCAGAATATGTGGTCGTTATGATTAACACACGCGAACTTTAATAGTTTCAATATTCAGTCAACCTGGTAACCCTTCACAACCGTTGCCTATCCGCGGAAAATGAACATGATATATTTTATGAACATACCCTACAATATGCGAATGAAAATTCCTACCGGCCAGTATTCCTCAGCCTTGTTGCATAAGTTTAACGATATGATTTATCGTTACTCCTAAAAATAGGACGTAAATTAGTAATTAACTAATATATTAATTAATTTTTTCAATGCTTGATTGTTAATATTTATGGAGTAATTGTTCAGGCGGAGTTGGTGAGTTGTATTGTGCACGTAGTAATTGTTTGTTGATAACTTTGTAGGATCCCCCACAGGTTCCACAGTAAGTCTATCACAAATTGCAACTAGAGAAAAAATACGAGCTGTTTCTCATTGAAGGAGAGTTGCATATCACAATCAAACATTTGACAAATACTGCAAATTACTCCGAACCTAACAATCTGCGCATTGACTTTTTCGCGGTTTTCGGTAAAGTAAACTACTATCCAATTAGTCGTTAAGTATACTTCGTTTTTAAAGCGTAAGGAAAAGGAAAAAATAAAAATATATCAACTAAATAAAAGAGAAGAAAAGAAATCGACTCTACCCGCCAGATGAGGTGGAGTGCAAAATGGTAGAACAGAATCACCATTCGCCACATGTGCTGAGGAGCAAATTCTGGTGATCGGCGCAGTATTACATTATTTTTATAATATAGTGAAGTAATGGTTTTTCATATAGTAAAGTAATAAAACGATTAGTGTCAAGTTGGGAACCTGACATATTGCAACAAAAAGTTTGAATGAACCGACGGACGGTGTTGTGAACTTATTCGTAGATACTGTCCATTTTCAATTTCACCAATGTTCGATTTCTCGTCGAAGGATCCATCTGCACCGTCCAGGACATTCATTTCAAAGGAGAACACTGACCGACAACTGCCGACAAGTAATTGCAAATGAAATTCTGAATTAACGACTACTGCCTTCAAAAAGATGATTCTGAGAAAACGAACTACGTAACGAAAATTGCATCCAACGAAAATGAAGGCTCCAAACCCCTCCTCCCGCTTCCATAAGGTGCGAATACCATCAAGGAACTTATCATTTTGATAACTCTAATAGTTTTTTTTTTTTTTCGGAGATCACTTTAACAATTACATATTGTACGACAGTTTTATCTTCAAATTTTTATTCCACTTAATGAGTGTATTATCTTACGCAGGAATTCAAATTTTCCGAAAATGTTCAGAATTTACGTCAGAAATTACAATGCCGATGTCTAAAGTTGCACAAATGCGAACCTCGCTGCGACGTTCAAACACACCCCCCCCCCCCCCCCCCCNTTCTGCAAGGAAGTACTCTCCTGGGGGCCTGTACCACTGACTGTATATATGAACCCAAGAATCTTAAATCCGGCCCTGATTCGAAGGAATGATTTTACTTACTGTCGCTGCTTTCGTCGCACCCTCTTCTGCCTATTTCTAACCTTAAGATATGTCCGTTGTTTGCCTTTGGACGAAACCACGTGAACATTCCAAACCAGCGGGCTGATTATTGAAAGTGATAGACAAAGCTATTGACAAAGAAGACATAGCGGGTATGGAGCGATCTTATTGGTCGAAATGTGTGGTTCTTATAGACTAAGGGAGAAAAAGATGGACTAACTGTCGGGTTTCTCGTGGGTTGCCGTTAGTTAGTCTATTACCTACTGCCTTTGTCCATTACAACCACCAGCTTCCACCAATAGGTTCCCTCCATATCCCTTCTGTCATCTTTGTCTAGTTTTGTCTATCAATTTCAATAATCGGCCCGCAGGCATTTACTGCTGTTTTGCCAAACATAAAAAGGAAAGCGCCCATTTAAATTTGTTGTAGATAAATGTGTAGATTTTTTATTCACGTGAACAATTTTAAGAAGTCTTTCGGACGATTTTTCGAAAGACGCACGACTCATTTAATACAAGTTCCTTCTCAGGCACTACTAGGTCTAGACTCGTTTTATCAAAACTTATTTTTGCACTAATTTTTCTCTTTAAAACTGCCGTGCTGAGGAGACACGCTGTATGAACAAGATTTTGCCTTTGTGAAAGATTCATTTTCGAGATTAGTTATGATTATTTCCCTCTTAAATTTCCAGAGGTTGCGGTAGGATTGCGCAAATGCTCCCTTTTCTACCTTTTTGGAGATGCACTGGATTGCGCGAATTTCTCTGGTACTGAAAACTCACATGTTTGCGTGAATTTTCAATATTTAACGAGGGAGCGTTAATCTGGCAATCTTGGTAGTTTGTGGTAGATAACTACATCGTTGATGACTGTTCATTCCCTCCTCACTTACAGGCATGTCTCTCTTCAATGGATAGCCGTCGCAGCACGCATGGCCCGGAGAGCTTTTATAGACATTTAAAAAGTGAACTAGGGGCCTGAGGTGGGGCCCGCCAACCACTGAAAAAATCCAAACGTAAAAAATCGTAGAACAACCATGTTCAAGTTTTTAAGACATGAATGATGGTGTTTTAATACCCGACGCCGACGGGTGCAGCGTATATTTAACTCTGATTGCAACGTTATACAAAACTATTATGTTTTATTTATAATATATGTTTCTGGAAAGCTACACACAGTTTTTCTGAAAAGTTTTCACGAATTTACCCAAAT